ACAGGGGCCCTTTTTTTTTTTTTTTTTTTTTTGAAGTACTGGGAGACTGAGGCCAGGCAGGGCAGCCATCGGGGGTCTGAGGGTGCAAGCGGGGGATGGGGCCAGGTGGGGCCACCATCAGGAGGTCTGGGGAAGTAGGCAGTGGATAGAGCTGGGTGGGGGAGCCATTGGGGAGGTCTGGGGGTGGAAGCAGGGGGTGGGGCCAGGCAGGGCAGGTGCGCAGCAGGTCACAGCCAGGCAGCAGCCCCCACTGCCAGACTGCTGCAGTGGGTAAAGGGTACAGGGAACTCTCGGGGCTGCTTCAGCAGTCCAGCTGGCACAAGGGGTAGTGTCCCCAGGTACCAATTAGCCGGGCCCCAGAAGCTGAGAGCGAGTTGCCCTGAGCTACTTGCCAGGGCAGCTTTTTGTACTGATGGGGCCAGGACAGGGCAGCTTTTTACACTGCTGGAGCCAACACAGGTGGGGTCCCCCACACTTCTGTGAGATGCTCCATCTGCCCCGCCATTTCAGTGTTCACGAGCCATGCCTGGTAACTCAAGGTATGTAGAAAAAAAAATTTAAAGCTGTGTCTATGGCTGAATCGCCGATTCTCCGAACCAGCATCGAATCTTCAGATTCAGCCAAATAGAATCAGGACAATAATCTAAATCAATTAATAGAATCACTGTCCCCCAAATCAGGCTGAATCCAAATTCAAATCAAATACAGCCTGCTTTGCACACCCCTAATGCATATATTTATTGAATACTTTATATTACTTCTATTATTGCCACCAAAGTTTGCTGTCTGTGTCAATTAATGCAGTTTCATAAAAATTACCAATATTTGTAAATAAAATTACCGAACTGTCCAGGTACCCATTTCCATCTGTGTCATACAAGCGAAACATAACTAAAAAGGAAGGAAGGAAGAGAAACATTACATTAAGGGGGAAAAAACTCCAAGATCCAAACTATTTTGTTTAAATTGTTAACTCCAGAGCAAAACTTAAAATTAATATCTTACTCAAACCTGAGATCATGACTGCACCTACATTAAGTCATATGATCTATTGGCCCCCTACTGCAAATGCTTCAATTCAGTTTACAAATGCTTACTGATTAGCTAAATATAATTGCAGAATGTATTTTACAACACTTAACAGGTCTGTTTAATGCATGTGTAAACAAATTTACAAAGTTATGTTGTCTCGTTTCACTCAGTTCACAATGCTACACATAATAAACATATTAGATGTTTCTTTGAAATCATGGTAATATTCTCTCAGAACACCCTAGTGATCAGATTATCCGTAATTTTACAAAGACATCTGAGCGTAATACAAGAGTTCATTCCTATTCAGAAAAAAACATTTGACAAGATAATGAACTTTCGGCCTTGTTGCACATTCAAATTAAAGCTGAACAGAAACCATTTATAAAGTTGTTACACATCTTTAAGCACTGACTTTGTAGCTAGTTGACTCTTTTTATCACTGGATGGACATTTTCATGCCTGTGCTGCAATTCCATTTTCATGTATAGTTTAGACTTACTCTAAAAAGTCAGAGTTGTAATGCATAAATATGCTTGGCTTCGAGCTTTCACCCTTTAGTAGTCTTGGATTCACTTTAGAAATGACAAAACTTTCCAGGTTTATAGTTTTGGAAATTGTTTTATTTCCAAACCAAAAAACCCTTTTTTTTTTCTTTTTTTTTAAGTGTTTAATTTAAAGATCTATCCACCCACCCATTCATTCATCTCTCTCTTTTCTGACTACTCAGTATTATGTAAGTAATCAATATAGCATTCCTCTTCTCTTCCAAGAAGGTATTTCCTATTGAGTTACTGAATTTCTAGCGATGTCATCAACTGGAGAGTTCTATACAATACTGGAGCTGAACACAAAACAGAAGTTAAACTGTCATTCTGTAATGAGGCTATGTATCTCAATGTAAAATCTGGAGAACTATCTACAACAAAAATAAATAGCTAATGACATACCTATAAAATTTCAGTCATGCTAAAAATGTTGAGCAATGTAGATGAAACACAGTCTATACACTGCTGAACTCCCAAGTCATTAAAATTAGATTTAGGTGCTTTCTCTGTCTGCTTTAAGTACATGGTAAACTGATCTGTTCTATTCAGTTTTAACATTACATCATTTTAAGCTGCAATATACTGGTATAGGTGGCAACAGATGGAAGAGTTACATCAGTTCAGCTGAAAAAATGTTCCCACATGGTATTCTCCCACAATATGCTCCCTTTTGAAATGCTTTAGTGTTACATCTGTCTACAGTCTGAAAGCAAATTTCTCAGGACAAGTGCAGCTTGAGCCCACAGGACCTACTCAAGTTACTATTCACCTCTGTGCACAATCAATGGGCAGTGAGGTTACAGCATAATCAAGAGTTACGGAACCCGAATACAGGCAGTCCTTCACCAATGTTACCACAACTCCCTGTCCCTGTGTCTTCCAGCCCTTCTGTACACCTCCTTTTCCTCCACTACCAATTGGAAGCTGTGGAGTGTTTAACCCTTCACTTTCCACATATGCTGCTGCTTCAGATGGCCAGCCTGGCCTCTTTTCGCCATCTGAGAATGTGCTCCTGATGTGCAGTTAACTGGCTGGAAAAGTATAGTTGAACTTTGGTTACTATTTGGAGGAGATACACTAGGAACCACAATTTCAACTACAGTTGGAGGAATGTCCACTCCTGAAATATTATGTTCAAGTGAACATGCTCAACTTAAGCATTCATTGGGCCAGGTTGCAGTGCAAGGAATATACCAAACACCTAAAGTACTGTTTCTAAAATGGAAAAGACACAAACCAGAGGTCCAGTAAACGACCTTCTTTCCCCTTTTTCAAAGAGCTTCAATGTGTTTGCCAGTGCTCTGCACACCAGACCTGCAACCTTCTACAACCCCATTCCTTTCCTGGAGGAGCTGGTTTTCAGGGAGGAAGGGGGAGAGAAGCCTCTTGAAGAGAGGTTTTAAGGTCAAACTGAAATTATGGAGACTCAACCCACAGTGAACCTAGAAAGGCCTCCTCAAAATGTTTTTCCCCTGAAAACCCTAGGAGATTCACCTGAGTACCTACCCAGGAAGACCTGCAGAAGTACAACCAAAGAAAAAGAATCTTTGGACCAATAAATGCTGCCTACCACCTCTATATGTTTTGGCAGAAAAGGAAAGGGAGTCCCTGATAGATGACTAAAGAGGGTAAAGTTGGAGCAGATTTTGGTTTCCATGGGGGTGAGGTCAGATTTATTTATGGCTGAAACCATATATGGTACTTATACAAGGGTATGTTCTCCCTAATTCCACACTCCATGGTCTTCCCAGAGAATGGCTGAGTAGTGGGGAGAAAAAAAGTAAGGCAAACAAAATGATGAATGCCTTGCTGCATTGCCTTAACAATACTAACTATCATTCTTTGGTCATACAATCTTCAGGAGTTGTTGCATAAGATCAATGTTTAATAAATTATTATGATCCATATAAGCATAATGTTTATGGTCCTGTTGAGTTTTCACTGTTTTTGCCAATATAAATGAAGTCCTCAATGAAAAATTCCAAACCATTTTGGTCTTCCTCTCATAACCAACCCTGTGGAGGGTGCTATAGCTTATGTATGGCTATCATGAAAGCAGTGGTTACTTCAGTAGCTTATCAATGTTCTCCCTAATGTCTACCCAGTCCTGGGAAATATGGCTGACAAATTTGTCACCCATCAGGAATTTTAGTTGGTCATTTACTGCAAATTTTGCTGTTCTACCTTCACAACTGTAAAGACTCTTCTATTCACTTATAAGTTATATGACCAGTAGGCTACTAAAAATTTCCTTCGCATGCCTTGAAGGAACACTTTCCCTGGTTTGGAGAATCACCTCTTTTTTCTATTAAGAAATCTCCACAATTTTCATGTCTTAGATGGTTTGTCCCAGCCTGAGGGAAAAAAAGCCAGGGAACTTAGGTAGAAGAGGTTCCTTTTCATCCTCTTCCCCAACCTAAACAGGCAAGCACGATGGATAGATGTCTTGCGTTTTTTTAAAGAACGAATTAGAACAGATAAAGAACTGACCACTTTGTGATTAGTTGCTGTTTTACACAACTTTCACCTGCTACCCCATCTCAAAAATGAGGGGAGGAACACCAGAAACGATAAAAACTGCAAATTGGCTTGGTAATAAAGGAGTGAATCATAGAAAAAGAAATCTTGCTTTCTTTGAGGAAATACTGAGTAAACTCTCTCCCTCTTCCACCACACATACTTTAAGTTTCAAAGGCCAAAGCACCCTGCCCAGGAGCCTGAACACATGAACATTGTTTCAAAGTGCAAAAGGCAGGCAGGTGTGGACACCTTCATTTTAGAAATACGAAGAAAGGCACTTGGATTCAGGACACTATTGCTGGCCTGGGATGAACAGGAACTGAGAAATCCAGATAGGTTCTGGAAGGAGACCTTGAAGAGGGAGAAGAACCAGGAACTCTTAGCATGTCCACAGTCTCTTCTGCAAGCTTCTGAACAAGTACTTGACCTGCTTAAGAGCCCCGCACAGTACCTGGGCCTGGCTGTTTCTATCATGTTGTACACATGCAGTGACTTTTGCAGTTTTCTTTCTACTATTTCCCTTAACTGTCACAAACTCTTGGACCACAAAAGAAGGAACTCCTCTAATGGATCCATGTTTCTTTAACACAGCAACAAAGTACATTTTAGTCTTAGGGCAATTAAGCAGAGACCAACTGTCCTGCAATGTACCACAGACAATTTGTGGAAAGACAGCCCTGAATGGTGCTATGGAAGCTGATATACATCCTCACAGCTCCTACAGCCACAAATGCATATCCAGAACCACAGCATAGACACAGATACAGGAGACCTATTACAAAAAATATTAGGAGGAGGATGGTTTTATTTTAAGAATGTCACAGATAGGATTTGTAGTGTTAAAGACTGTTTTAAGGATGTAAGTAAAAAGGCTTATAAATATGATTATAAACAACCCTTTGACCTGAGGGATTCCATATCAATCTGTGATAAATTACTGACCATATATTAAAACATCTATTGATTATTATATTCTTCCTATATCTATTCGTCTCCAAGACTCCCTTTTTCTAAACTGTATATGAAAATAGTATGTCTCCTTTTCCTTAGATATGCTGGGTCAACAGCACTCAAGACTGACTTGATGTTTCGCTCTCTGATATTTACTTGCTTCCTCTTTTCTGAAATATCTCTAAGGCTAGGGACAGAACTTCAAAAAACCAGAGCCTGAATTGATTCAGTCTTTGCAAGTGAATAAACATTCACTATTGATTTTGGAAACGTAGCCTGCAGTGACTCAGACTAGAAGCCAGAGGCAGGAGGGGGGTGGTGCTAGAGCAGGGGTGGGCAAAATGCTGCCAATGAGCCACATGTGGCCCACCAGGCCATTCTATCCAGCCCGCAGGACCCATAAAAAATTTAGAAAATTGCCCACCCCTGCACTAGAGCTACCTTCCCTTCCCTTTTGCAGCAGCTGCTTGCCTCCTGCTCATGCTTGGATGGCAGGGGTCCTGGCCAGAGTTGGCCAGCATGTCCCTGCTATCTACCCGGGGCTGGGGCTGCAGATGCAGAGCTGTGAGCTGAGCTGAGACAGCCTGCAGGTGCTGCTGAGAGTGAAGGTAGAGGGGCCAAGCAGGGCTGAGCCAAGGGGGCCAGGCCCTTCCCAGCAGCTGAAGCTCTGTGAAAGCCCAGCCTGGCAGCACAGGTGGGGGCTGGCTGAGTAGTGGGCTGCCCAGGTGGCTCAGAGGTGCTGGTGAGTCCCTAGCCTGGCAGCTGCCCACCACAGCCACTGCCACACCCCCTATCCTGTGAAGCACCCAGCAGCAGCAGCCACATGACAATTTGTGGACTGGCCAGGGCCAGGCAGGCAGTTCTGCCCCCTTCACCTCCAGCTGCTGCTGCTACCCCTTCTTCTACACAGTGCAAGGAGCTCAGGCTCCAGTTCTGGCTGCCTTCCATCCCCTCCACCCACCCAGCATGATGAGCAGGCCCTGCAAGTGGACACAGCAAGTGGAGGGTAGCTGAAGCTGGAGCCAGAGCTCCATGTGCTGGACACAAGCTACTGGGCTGAAGCTTCTTGACCACCCACCCAGAGTGGCATGGCGTGGCAGGAGCAGGGGCAGCCATGGCAACTGGAGGCAAGGAAGGAAAAACAGCCCACCAGGCCAGTGCACAGCTTGTGATGCAGCTGCAGCCACCAAGTGCTGCATTGGCAGCTGTGGCAAGTGGCTTCCAGGCTTGGGGCCTGCCAGCACCCCCAAGCCTCACAGGCATCCCACTACCTGACCAGCCCCTACCCATACTGCCAGGCTGGGCTGTCATGGAGACCCAGCTGCTGGGATGGGCCGGCTCCATGACAGCCCTGCCCAGCCTGGGCACAGGGAGCTGGGAGGAATCCCTCCCTCTCCCGATTTGCTTCAAGCTAAGGAAAGAAGAGAGGGGGCTGACAGGGGCCTCTACACCCTAGCCAGGCAGACCTGAGCTGCAGTTCCTCAGTGGGAGAAAAGGGAGGGGGGAATCAGCCCCTCCCTGCTCACTTTGCCTCAGAGGGGCATGCTGGCTGGTATCTGGACACACCCCACCCCAGCTCTCATTAGGGAGCAGAGAGGTGGACTCAGCTCTGCTCTCTGGAGCAGACAGCATAGACCAACCCAGGGTTGAAATGCATGCTGGGATGGTGGGGGACTCTGGTTTAACTTAAACCAGAAAGCAGTCTGAGACAGAAGTTGCATAAACTGGTTAGACCCAAATCAGTTAAGTCTGATACTACATTCAACCAGGTTTATCTTAAACCAGTTTTGGCCATTTTGAAACTGTTTTATGTTCACTGAACTTATGCTCTGTTACTAGTTTAAACCAGTTTCTGATCACTTAAACTGGTTTATGTGTAACTTCTGTCTCTAACACAAGGGACCAGAAGGAAGACCTGCATCCCCTTACTAACTCCACTCTGGCCTCTCAGTCCACATCCCCTGGTGCTCAAGAGATGCAGCTAACCCTCGTTCCACAAGTGGATCTGAAGATTATGTTCTTACTTTAAAACTCTGGAGTAGTTTATATAGTCAGCCAGCAGGACAGCATCCGTATATTTTCTATGGTAGTGGTTCTCAACCTTTTTTGTACCAGGATCCATTTATAAACATTGATGGCCAGTCCTGACACAGTAAGTTGTTTAAGTAGAAAACACAGAAGTATTTTAGCCCCAAAATACTTATTACACTCTGAGTTAAAGCGGATCAACAGTCTTAATTTTGAGGAAAGAAATCAACATCAACAGGAAAATATTACCAGCAATATCAACATGTGGCCCTACATTACTCCCAAGTGTGCAATTTGCACATTGCAAATTGCCAGTGCCCCTCATTCCCAACTCTCAGCCCCATGGCTTTGCTGATGACCCTCAGTCTCAAACAGCAGCCCCCCACCCTCCCAGATAGCTGGTGTCCTTCACTCCTGACTCGCTGCCCCCAGTCCCCAGGGCCCAGCTCTGCAGTGTGTGGAGCAGAGGATGGGCGTGTGGGATGGTTGGGGATCTGGGGGGTGTAAGCCCACAGCAGACCCAGGACTTCAGCCTAGCCAGACCAATACAGGCAGCAACTGCCTCCACAGCCCAGCGGATGAGACAGAGTGGCACGCTGAGGCTCGCTGCTGTCACTGCCATCTCCAGGACCCCTATGCCAGCCATGCCACCAGCAGCACAAGGAGTAATGGATAGGGAACCATGTTGCCCTCACCTCCTGCTGCTAGCTCCTTGCACAATAGCCTGTGGCTCTACCCTGCTGCCTGGTCATTGATGCTCACTTCAGGCCACCCACGCCGCATGCCACCACACCAGCCCTCTGGGGTAGAGCCACAGCCTGAGGAAAGCGATGGTGGTGGGAGGAGGTGAAGGCAGAGAGACTCCTCACCCTCATCCAATACTCCTCATGAAGCCATGCCACTCTACTCTGCCCTCCTGCACTGGGTCCTGCACACTGGGCCATTGAGGAAGCTCCTGCCGGTGCTGGTCTGGCCAGGCTGCAGCCCCACACCTGCCACAGGCACACAAATCGGGGGAGGGGGGCACATGCCCCCCCCCAGTGCTTTATCTCTGCCCCCCTCCTGTCCTTCACCCCACTGACTTACCTATGGGAAGCTGCTCTCTATACTGCCTGGCCGGCATGTGCATGTGTGCACTTGCACATGCACATAACACTCCCCACCTGACCATCACTCTCCTCTTCTCCTCTCACTTCTTGCAGCCCCAAGCAACCCCTTGTGTACTGGAACTCTGCCAGCCTGCAAGGGGAAACCCACTTTTAAAGGAGAAAATCTGTGATTTTCCATGTTTTTCCATGACTGTTCACGACCCTGTCATTTATTTTTGTGACTCACTTTTAGGTCGCAACCTATGGGTTGAGAAATGCTGTTCAATGGCAATTGGTCCTAGAAGCTCAGTTTTTCCTAGTCCTAGACAAAAATCAGCAGTAGAATTTAGGAGCACTTATATGATACCAGGAATCCAATATCAGTAATTCTGGGGCCAAATCCTGAAGTCCCTGCTCAGGTAAAACTACCAATCACCTCACATTATCAGATCTAGGAACTTGGATACCATAGTTATAAGCTAGGTAAGGAAACATAAAGAGGGTTTAAGAAGGCCGGGACATGTCATCTTGTAGTGAAGCTAAACTTCCAGTAGATAGAGCCCGATGTCTACATTTCTGCAGCAAACCTACCAAGTGTTTCATTACAATATCGCTAGTATAGTTACACAATCCCTTATGTTATCAGTCCTGCCTGTACATCTTTATTATCTCTAAGTGATCTTTCATACCCATGACTGATGAAAAAACTGTATATGATGGGGTTAGTGAGATATATTTAAAGAAATACATTTAGATCACAGAACCTATATTACAAGCAATAATGTACAAATTGGAAATAACTCAGTTTGCATGAAAGAAACCAAATAAAAGTTGAAAAGAAGGGGACAAAAATCTTTCAAATAAATGAGCAAATTTGATATGGAAATCAGCAAGACAGAATAATTGCAGAACTTCACCGTATCATTTTTTAAGCATCAACTTTTACCAGAGTATTGACTCTTAAATATAGAATCAGAAATTTCTCTTTTACATGTGCAAGATCCAGCAGTTCACAGGTTTATATAATGGAAATGTAAACCAATAGCTTATTAAGAGTGTGTTAATTATCCATTAACAAATTATCAAGTTTAACATTTAAAATTTCCATAGATGTCACAGTAGTTTCAGCAAGTACACGGAAAAAAGCCATACTTACATTCTAGTTTGTCTTCAGGTCTTCCCCTTTCCAGCAGAGACAAATAGCAAACAATGTCTTTCAACTGGATCACATCTGGTAAGTTTAAGTTGGCAGAAGTAGGAGGTCGGGATGTAGCAGTACTTTTAGTAATTCTCAGACCTGAAAATAACAAATATGCTTTACTATGCATTTGCTTTATCAATGACACAAGGAAAGCATAAAAACCAGGGCTTGCTCATACAAGTACAAAGTTACAGTCCTTAAAAACCTAATGGAATTCAATTAATCTCTATATAAAGAAATAAAGCCATGATTTAAACATTTACAGCTCTTTCACTTTTACCTAACATAGCAAGATTAACTAGTGTTAAGGGTCTTGCATAGAGCTGAAATAAAAGTAAAGCAGTGGGAAACAAATAAAGTAAAAAGGGAGAATTCATATAATTTGAAGTCATTCAGGTGTTAAATTGCACCTGATAGCGCGGCAGTTTTCTTGAATATCATTTCATTAGTATATCTAAGTATTTATTATTTAATGCACTGAAATAACCCCATCCCAATGCAGCAACCTTTCCAGCAGGTCTGCAGAAGTTCTAAGGGTCTCTGATACAATGTCCTGTCAGCAGCTGCTCCTTGTTTAAAGATGTGTTTATTAATTAATGGAATCCAAATAGATCCCTTTGCCAAAGATATGTGCCAGAAGCACAACTAAGCCATGCTAAAGGTCACTATAAAAATAATGTACAACATCGCTTACGAGCAAGAATATTGCTGATATACTAAATAGAATATACATTTCAGCTCCATTAATCTTTGTACTTTAATCAGAAGCTGGTGAGATGACTCCTGCATGAGAATTTGTAGGATCAGTTCCTAATATAAAGAATGACAGAAAGAAAAATAAAAAGTTTCTGATCATGGAAGTGGACCTTGACAGCATCAAAAAAGAATATGTACAAAAGAATTAACTATTCCTCAAGTCTTTCTATAATTAATTTAGAACAGGTTGTTTGTTGATAACCTGCACACTTAATTTCTCTCTCACATTATTCTATCCAATGGAAATCAATTCCTAATTTCTACTATGTTCATCTTGCTTCCACATTTATTTCAATGGGACTTCTAAAAAGGGCAAGGTGAGGAGGTAATGCCTTGGCATAAATATACAGTATTTTGGCATGCAGAATTCATTTAAATCAGGTTTGTACCCACAACAATCGTTTATGCAATTAGTGAATATAAAAGGGTAATAGTCAAGTAAATAAAAGAGCAATGAGAGCTGATGTAATTCCAAGTATAACAGCTCTAAAAATTATTATAATCTAACAGTAGTGTTGAACTGATGTAACCATTATGGTCCAGTAAATACGCAAGAGGTAAGGATTTTTGTGGTCAATATCTTTTGTTGGACCAACTACAAGGTTTGGATAGAGCCAGACAAACCTTCAAATACCAGGACTGCTCCCTTAACATTCAAATGGCCTCCCAATGGAATGTGAACTTTTGTTTAAATCTATCCTAACCATGCAGTTGGTCCAATAAAAGAATCATCCACAAAAATCCTTCCCTTTCAATTATTATCTGAATTAGTTTAAGCTATTCTACATCTGAAAACCAGGACATTCTAAAAATGAACAAAATCATAGAAAATTAGGGTTGAAAGGGACCTCAGGATGTCATCTAGCCCAACCCCCTGCTCAAAGCAGGACCATTCCCAAGCAGATCATCCCAATCAAAGCTTTGTCTAGCCAGGTCTTCAAAACCTCAAGGATGGAGATGCCACAACCTCTGTTCCAGTGCTTTCCTACCCTCCTAGTGAGAAAGTTTTTTCCTAATATCTAACATAAACTTCCCTTGCTGCAACTTGAGACCATTGCTTCTTGCTCCGTCATCCGCCACCATTGACAACAGTCTACCACCATCCTCTGTAGAACCACCCTTCAGGTAATTGAAAGCTATTAAATCTCCTCAGCCTTCCCTTCTCTAGACTAAATAAGCCCATTTCCCTCAGCTTCTCATAAGTCATGTGCTGCAGTCCTTGAAACATTTTTGTTACCCTCATCACAGGATAAAATTTTTTTTGGAGGACAAAACATGAGCATTTAGATGCCCTTGCTGCTTGTCATAGGATAAATCTCCAAAAGGTTTAGGGGATCCGCTATCAGGATGGACATGAATTGTTGGCCTTATGATATTCTCATGAATCCTCCAGGTATCCTACAATGCACTGATCTGACCCCAATCCTGGCCCCTCTTGAAGCCTGCCCAGTTGCTCTGGCCACAACTGCAGAACTATACTGCCTAAAAATGCCGGCCATGGTGGCTGTACCTAACTTTTAATTGACCTTCACAGTAACTTGCCAACCATTTCATGCTTGCTACACATCCAAGACAGGCATCAGAGACTGTTTCTACTAAACAACCATTGGGAACCTCCAGGACCCATCAGATCCATCCAGGGCATCCACCCCACACACCCAACCATACTCTTTTCACCCTAGCCCATCAGTCTGATGAATCCAGTGCCCTGAAAAAGTATGCTAGAAGCTGGAAAACAGAGGAGGTAGCAGATCTCATCACTATCTGGGGTGAGATTGAGAATTAGCAGGTGCTGTGTTCAAATCACCAAAGCAGGGCAATTTCAATGGATCACCAAGGAAATAGTAGCTCAGGACACGACCACGATGTGGATCAATGGCAGTACAAGTGCAAGGTACTGAGGCAGCAGTTTGCACAGATGTGGAACAGCCACCACATCTTCACAGTCAATGAGGTTGCCATGTCTGAAAAGGTGGTAGACATAGTGGCCCACACAGCTGCCCAGAACAGTGAGGACTCTAACACAACTGTGCTTCGAAGACATGCACAGTTTACACACCAGTGTAGGAACCCAGCCATTGAGTCAGATCAGAGACTTCCAGCCGATCCTGTTGAATTAGGCAGGCTCGCTGGCCATCTGACAAAGCTGCGCTGACTTTGAAATGGACCCAGACTTGAACAACAACAGCTGGGATCTTCCTTCCTCACCCACCATCTTCAACATCCTAGCTATCCATCTCCCACCATGGAATCAATGCCCCAGAAGACCTAGCCTACAACAAGACATATTCTAGGGATGGTATGTGGCAGGCAACTGTTATAGTTGGAGTTGCACTGTTTGGGGTTTGAAGAACTGCAGTTTAGGACTTCACTGGAACTGCATGACTGTGCATCCCTCCCCCATTCCTCCTTCCCTACATGCAAGTGTGCTGTGCTAAAAGTTACTATTTTAGGCAAACTGGGTGATTAGTAGAATTGGTATTGTGTACGTGTAACGTGTTTGCCCTCTCCATGAGCTGAAGTCATCAGGGACTACTATCGCTTTTAGAAAGAGGCATATAAAAATGGCTTGACTGTGCTCTGCAAGCAATGACTGGAAGAAATCTCCACTGCAGGGTCACATGGATCAGAATGACATCAGCCATCATACCAGAGTCCTATGGTTATAGCTAAGGGGCATTAGGGGGTCCCAAGGCAATAGACCACACTCAGCAGACCGCCCCTGCCCCTTAAATGGACCCACCCATATTTCAGCCTCCTTTAAGTTAGGGGCACTGGCTGAACCCCATAGCTATTTGTCATGTGGATGCCCAAGCAAGTCTTCTAATTTCCTAGGTTCCTAGGAAGCAGAGAGGACAGCATACTTACTATATGGAGAGTCTGCCAGGCAAAAGAACCTTCTAAATGTGCAAATTTGTTGGAAGTTCTTCATGCCATTAGGGCAACAGTGAGAAAAACAATGAACTACTGTTCATCCTTCTACTTTCAGCTCAGACACCTGCAAATGGTGGCAATGATACTCTTGATGGGGTAACTGGCCAAAGATGTGGTCAGAGACTGGTGTCCAGAAAGCAAAGCAGAGGAAGACTCAAGCCTCCACAAGGAAGGACATGCTGGCTTCTATAGAGGAGTTTAGCAGCTCTTGGGTCATGGAGGCTTAGACAATGGAGGGAGGAGGAGAAAGCGTACTTAGCCATGATCAGGCATGTAAGA